CAACATCACACACATGTGACCCTCACAAGATGGCGTCTCTGCTCTGTTGACAACTGCCTTTCATGTAGCACCTGTGAAATCTAAACCCACTGAGGCCGTGATCCTGAGCACTATAGGTTAGATGAAAGTTCCATTGATTTGGGCAAAACGATCTTCCCAGAAGGGTGTTTTTTGATCCGCTCAGGAGATTTCCGGATATTGTGGTCCTGAATCATGGCACCCCTCTCCCGTAATCCACTCAGCTGCCATGTGCTCTGATCTCCTCCTCCTCTACATTGTGCTCTTCTTATTAAGCCATTAAGATCACCAAGACTGTCACAACATCTTATTATTTCAGCTCTCCCTTTAGTCTCTTTTGCTCTCTGCACACCTTTTGGCTCTGTGGTCTTATTTTGATTAAGCTTGTTAATACTTTGTCTCTTCCATTTTCACTTTCCAGCAAAGAAAAATGACTTATTTGTGTAATGACAAAAGGCATCCTAACCATTTTGTGGATGAAACCTTTCATTTAGACCGACGCTGGGAAATTTTCTAGCTCCTGAGTCTTGAACCAAATTCAACTGCTGTGGATCAGCGCTGTAAGCTGTGGCTATTTTATCTCAGAAATGTCTTGCAGGAATTGTCTCACTCTTTGCCATTCTCCTTTAGATGTTGGGAGTTACCCAATGGTCTGCTCTTGGAGCTTCGTAAGAGTTGAATTCTCTTTATTGACCCGCATTTTCTTTTTCATTCTGTCCGTTTGATTTCTCTCCCTCCCCTGCCACTGATTATTTGATGATGTCATAAGAATATAAGAAGAACCTGCTGGTATAGAAATGGTATAGAACCACTTGCTTACAGTGAAATAACCCAGAGGTGTATTTTAAATAAAAGCACACATTCTACACGTGTAAAAACACCAGGCAGGCCCCACAAATAACCCAGAGATGCATTTTAAATAAAAGGACACATTCTACTCATGTAAAAACACGCTGATTCCGGACTGTCCGTGGGCTGGATTTAGAAGGTGATTGGCTGGATCCGGCCCCCGGGCTTTAGTTTGCCTACCCATGCTCTAAACTAAACTATCTCAAATCCTGCAACCTTTCTTCATAGCTTTCTTCAATGTCACAGGACCCGAGATCACTCCAGGCTTAGGGCAGCTGTACTCATCATGGAGGAGAGCAGACGACGCAGCAGACCCTTCCCCACCAGACCCTTCTTCCTCCCTCTCCCTCCTTCCCTCATTCCATGCCTTCCTATGGGAGTGCCTCAAAATGACCTTTCAGTTTTGCATTCACGATATTGTTGGAGTGGTTTATACGGCTTTCAGCACTGTTCATTCCTTCCCGAAAGTTTCAGAGCAGGCATCCTGCTTTGTTTCCAGTTGTTACATACCCCCTAGATTCCTGCAGAAATCCTGTAATTGTTCATAAGACATTTTGGGGGGGAGAGGGATTGTCCCAATTTTGTTGAACTAGAGGGCAACATTGCATTATGGAGGAAACATTGCAGGATAAAGTGGAGTGATCCATGAGTGGTTCAGTACAGTGGTACCTCGGGTTACAGACACTTCGGGTTACAAACTCCGCTAACCAGGAAGTGGTTGCTCCAGGTTAAGAACTTTGCCCCAGGATAAGAATGGAAATCGTGCTCCAGCGGTGCAGCAGCAGCAGGAGGCCCCATTAGCATACCCGAGGTACCACTGTATGTCTGGGACGTGGGTGGCACTGTGGTCTAAACCACGGAGCCTAGGGCTTGCCGATCGGAAGGTCGGCAGTTCGAATCCCTGCAACGGGGTGAGCTCCCATTGCTCAGTCCCTGCTCCTGCCAACCTAGCACATCAAAGTGCAAGTAGATAAATAGGTACCGCTCTGGCGGGAAGGTAAACGGCATTTCTGTGCGCTGCTGTGGTTCACCAGAAGCGGCTTAGTCATGCTGGCCACATGACCTGGAAGCTGTACACCGGCTCCCTCGGCCAATAAAGCGAGATGAGCGCCGCAACCCCAGAGTCATCCGCAACAGGGGTCCCTATACCTTTACCACTGTATGTCTACCCTACTAATACATATTGTGTTAGCAGCTCTGTTCTCTTAAAAAAAATAAATATCCAATAAAGGCAAGCCAGATAGCAGGGAAGTTATTGTTCTTAACTTCCCCGAGACTGGACTATCTGTCAAATAAGGATCCCGCCATTTTCTGTCTTGTTTTTTAAAACAAACATGAGTCCGCTTTTATAAAATAACATCTTATTTTCATTGTGACTATACTACGCAATGCACAGTAGCTTTAGCAGACGATGATGGTGGCAATTTACAATTTGATCTGCATCCAAAGGAAATTGACGAAACATTGCAGCTGTGCAATGAAAGGAAATGCCCAAGTCAGCTCTCTCCGGGGTGTTCTTTCTTTACTAATGCTACACTCAGCCATTAAATCTCCCTCCACTAAATTACAGGGGACACATCAACTGATTATCCTTTACAGTATATGCACATTTTCCCCCGATCCCATTTAATTAGCAAAAGTAGAGATTGTGCATTTACATTTTTTGACTTTATACATACACATAATTTACCAGAGCCAATCCTAGATGTTCAGAAAACCTAGAGCAATCCAAAATGTCCCTTCATCTCTCCCACTACCACTGTTCCCCACATGGTTCAACAGCTTCCCTACCACTTTGTTTTACCATCAGCGTCATGGCTTCTGGTCTTGGCAAACCGAATCAAAGGGCGAGGTTGCTAGGCAACCACCTGACATCCACGACCTGCACGCAACTCAAAACTTTCCCCAAACTGAAGAAAGAGTAACATGAATGGACACAGAGAATCAGAGTGTTGAAGGGGGATTTATAAGCTAGCAGTCAGAAGCTGGGACATCCCAAATGGATGGTTGTTCAGCCTCTGCTGGAAGGTCTAGGTGAAGGGAATCGGTAGGTTCATTGGCTGCATTGTTGAACTGCTCAGATAAATTAATCTGATTAATTTTTAACCTGGTTTGCTTTTTTTTTTTAATCCATCCCAAAGTGGCTTGCAACCAGTATAAGCAGCAAAACATATACAGTCAGTAAATCTAGGTTGTTAAAATGGAAACAGGAAGCTCTCCCTTTCAAGAGTTTAAAGGTTATCTGAAAAGGGGAGGGTGCTCTTGTGCCCAAATCCTGCCAATGGGTTTCCTATAGGCATTTAGTTGGACCCTGCAAAAACAGCATACTGGACAAGATGGGCCATTGGGCAAATTCAGCAGGTTCGTGTTTGTGTGTCGAGGTCCCCAAGTCACCCCAAATAACTCACACATCACACAGAATTTTTGTTTAAGGTTTTTGGCATAATTTTAGCCACAACTTTATTAAAATACAAAAAAAATGTGAGTGGTTGCTTAGGCACAGGTTGCGACTATCTGCCCCCAGTGGGGACAGATTGGCATTTCGCAAGCCTGCAAAAGCCAGAAAAGGGGCATACATTTTGGGGATAGCGACGGAGCAGGGAACCTGCCCTCAGCCCTCCTCAAATGCAACCAGGGGCTCTTGCGTGGCTCTAGCCCCTTGACAGGGTTCGGACAAAAGCAATGGTGAGCCTCTGTATTCCTTTAACGGAATACCCTGCAGCAGCAGCATTAGAGGGGCAGGCACAGCCAATCCATGCCCCTCAACCAACCAAACCATAAACCAATGCCTAACCGCAACCTTACAAGTTGTGACGATTTGCTACGCAGTAGGCAAAAACCAAATGGCACCAGCCAATCAGCCATATGGACAAAATTCCTACCGGGCCCCTGCCCCAAGAGCAGACGACCCCATGACAGGCATAGCAAGGTCAATGCGAACAACCCTAATTATAGGGAGGGGGGGACGGGCAATCCGATGCATGGAGCAAAAAGAGGAAGCTCTACGCTTCGTGCAGGGAGTTTTAACATTTCAGGCTGTCAATCACAGAATGACAACATTAACTTCTTCCCAACAACAAGGGAAGCCCAATCACAACAGTGGCCAATGATCAATTAGCCCGCCCCACAACTTTGGAGTGTCTTGTCGGCCCCCACGTCAACACGTGCTCTCCATGAAGGAGAACACTCTTTCCCATGTTCTTTTGACTCCACCCATAATTTTCCAAATTCTCTACAAGTGCTACCATGACCCATCAGTCTCTGCCCTGGCAGCACCCTTCACTTGACAAATTATACTCTGGCTCCACTCTTGTTCTGAACGTTTTCCATTTTCTGTGCCCAGCCTGTTCAGCCAACATGGCTTCCCGGTGCAATAATGCAAAGAAATTTTGCTTCTTCCCATTGATCTGCCAACTATCCTCCTGCCAGCACCACTCCACACAGGCAGACAACTGGTTGACTAATGTCGGTAAACTCTGATTAAAAATGTATTTTTCCCCTTCTTCCCTTTTCCATAACAACAAAATGGATTTGTTCCAGCCAGCTGTGAAACCTTTCTGCTTGGTTAAAACCTTATCTTCGTTGTGAACACAGAAAACGCAGGAATTGCCATATCAGATCAGCCCAGTGATCCATCTCGGGCAAGATTTTGCCTCTGGCCATCCCCTCTACCTGAAGGGAGCATAATGAAGCTGTTTTTAAAAAGGCATCTTGCTAGCACATTGCACAGTACGTCCAATATGCCATTACCAAGAGAGCAAGCAGACTCTTAATCTTATTCAAATTAACGGAGATTGGGAACTGTTCGTTAAAACCTGCTCAGGTTGTCAGGAGGCAGAAATCAGACGGATACCTTGTTTCGCTCTGATGTTTTGGCCATTCCCCTCTTTAACTGCAGCTTGTTAGTAAAATGGTGGTTTCCATTCTTAACCAATGACTTTCTGTAAATGTCCAAACAGCCAGCAGCAGCAGCTAAAACAGCATGGACCCTACAGGTTCCAGTCTAGAAATTAGGGATATAGGAAACTGCCATATACTGAGTCAGACCATTGATCCATCCAACTCAGTACTGTCTATACAGACTGGCAGAGGCTTTCCAGAATTTCAGAGAAGTGATATCTTCTAGCGCTACACAGAGATACCAGGGATTGGACCTGGAGCCTTTGGCATGCAAGGCAGATGCCGTACCACAGAGCTACACTGCTCTCCTGCATATTAAGTTCAGAGACAATGATTAAAGTATGGCACACAACAAGGTGAGAGAGCCAAACAACACCATGACAAAGGAGGCTGGGGCATTGGAATAATGATAATGATGATAATGATAATGATTTATTATTTATACCCCGCCCATCTGGCTGAGTTTCCCCAGTCACTCTGGGCTGCTTCCAATCAAGTGTTAAAAACAGTACAGCGTTAAATATTAAAAACTTCCCTGAACAGGGCTGCCTTCAGATGTCTTTCAAAGAAAGGATAGCTGCTTATTTCCTTCACATCTGAAGGGAGGGTGTTCCACAGGGTGGGCACCACTACCGAGAAGGCCCTCTGTCTGGTTCCCTGTAACCTCACTTCTTACAATGAGGGAACTGCCAGAAGGCCCTCGGCGCTGGATCTCAGTGTCCAGGCTGAACGATGGAGGTGGTGATGCTCCTTCAGGTATACAGGACCGAGGCCGTTTAGGGCTTTAAAGGTCAGCACCAACACTTTGAATTGTGGAAAAGCGAGGCAAAGTATGGTGGAACAAGGGATGAGCCTAAGGCAAGATAAGAACCAGAAACTTTCCAAAATGGGTGAGCTATAAAATATTTTTCATTTCATTTCTCCATTAGATTTTTTATTTTATTTTAAAGACCACACTCATTTCATCATTTATTTGCACAAATCGCATTCATTTCATTACCCATTCATTGACAGTCCATTTGTTTCATTACCTGCATTTGTTACTCATTCTAACCTTATTTATTAACAATATTTTTTTGCTGCAACTGTGCACCAACCACGTGATTTGGTTCTGACCTCAGTACATAATACATAAACATTCCTTTCGGGTCAATTTCAGTTCCCACCCCCCTCACAAAACTATGATCCCCACGCTTTCCTACAGAGAAGGAAGGACTGTTAAATCAGGTCCTGTCTGTGGTGCCGTGGTGTACATGTTGTTGTTGTTAAAGCATCCTTCATCCTAAGGTCCCTGGGTGGATTAAAACAATTGAATCCATTCTGTAAACAGTTTAGAACAACTTTCAGCCAAAAAGATAATGTGGGTTCATCTGACTGGCCACAAACTAGGCGCCAAAGGGTCACGACAGTAAGAGCTGTTCGACAGTGGAATTTGCTGCCAAGGAGTGTGGTGGAGTCTCCTTCTTTGGAGGTCTTTAAGCAGAGGCTTGACAACCATATGTCAGGAGTGCTCTGATGGTGTTTCCTGCTTGGCAGGGGGTTGGACTCGATGGCCCTTGTGGTCTCTTCCAACTCTATGATTCTATGATTCTATGATTCTATGATTCTATGATTCTACATCTGACAAGTAGACTGTGAGGAAACAAATATCTTGATGTGGAACTGAGGAAACAAACTACAAAACACAGAGAGAAGGAAGGAAGGAAGGAAGGAATATGTAAATCTGTGAGCAAATTCAAGATAAAAGTTTTTAACACATTGGGCCATTTTAAACCAGCAAGCTAAAATGGTCACGCAGGGTGAGTGCCTCCACCCGCCTGTGTCTTCATCTGCTGTCTTTGACCAAGGACAAATGCTTCTCTTGACAAGTTGTGATGAACTACCCCTATTGTGACGCCGTTTTGGCCTTTCTGTCATTTCTGCTTACTGTCTTCTGAGCAGAGGCTGCCTCACAGCTACGCAACGTGAAGGAAAGATTCTGTTATGCAATACGGCCCTGCCACAGAAGCTGCGTTTCTTAGATGACATTTGGTGCCTGTGACTCGACTTCTTCGTGGTGCTTCCCATCTCCCTACAGACCAGTTTCTCTTACCTTCCCACACCTTCCCTTCCCCTGAACTCATTATTTTTCTTTTATTTTTTTATTACATGCATCGCCTCTTTTTCAGGTTGTAGAGTCTTCTTCTTCTTTCAACATTTCAAGTGAAATATTAGTGTTGTATACAGAATGGGGTTGGGGAAGAAGAAGAAGGGGGGAGAGGAGGTGAGGTGGCAATACTGAGTGCTGTCACACTCAACTCTTCTGTCAAAGAAAATGTGTGAGGATGATGGTCGTATGGTACTAAACTGCAGGAAGTGCTGAGATCAATACTAATAGTTTGACCAGCACGTTATTTCAACTCCTTGCCTCCTCACCCCATCCAGCTTTAGGATGACTTCCAGGACTATTTAACAGAAAGTGTGTGTGTGTGTGTGTGTGTGTGTGTGTGTGTGTGTGTGTGTTGGAGGTGGGGGGAATAATTCAGGAAAATTGGCAGGCAACTCAATTGAAATTCAGCGAAGATTGATGTTAATTGAAGCTGAACTAAGATTGAAGTTGGCCTTGGGATGGAAAAGGGAATAGAACTGTGCTGAAAATTTCTCCCATCTCACCCCAACTATTCTCCATAAATTAATGAAGAAGAAGATTGCATTCAAATGGGGAGGGGAAAGTGTGGCAAGAAGTATCAGAAAGTGATGGACTCTCCTTCACTGGAGGTTTTTAAGCAGAGGTTGGATGGCTGTGATTCCTGCATTGCAGGGGGACATCTTCCAACACAACAATGCCCATTTACACCACAAAGAACTCATAACCCTTTCAGCAGCCAGAAACACCATAACCAGACACTGGAGAGACCTGTCAGGAGTAAGCATGGACCAATGGTACCAAATAGTATGGGAAACAGCCCTACTAGAAAAATTAACCAATAAACTGAAACTGGCACGGGGACAAGCAGAAGAAGACGCCTTCACCCCGGTATGGCTCCCCTTTATCACATACACAGCCCAACAAGACAATGACAATAATCCACCAACAGCATACAAATCAATATGGCTAACCTGATCCAAAACACCCACCCACCCCGCTCACACACAAAAACAAAGATCACCACAACCAATCACAAACAAACAACCACACCCTAGGCCAACCCCAACCTCTCTCACCACCAAAGAAACACAAGTGAACAGAACAAGCAACGCTGACACCAAACCCTACATACATTAAGTATAATAGAAACATCGCCACCTGATCCCACCCCCACCCATCTTCCCTCCCTCCACCCCTTTTTTCCCCTCCCCCTAATGTCTCAACAAATGAAACGGATTTGTAAAAATGTTACATGGAAAAAATACGAGAGACTTTACACTTACTTCTGTAAAACAAGAAAATCTTTAATTAAAAAAAAAACAAAAACAAAAAAGAAGATGATGATTCTTGGGATATCTTCCAACCCTACAATGCTACGATTTTATGATTCTCATGAAGTGGATGCAGGGATGTAATAAGGCATTGTTTTCGATTATGCCCTGTATTTGTCATTTGCAGCACAGTCTCTGTTCAGCTGCAGTTTGCCTTCTGCTCAACCTTTCTTAACCCTGCCCCTGATTTGTTTTTTGGGGGATAGCAGGTAGCCCTGAGGGCAGCACCAGATGAATTGGATTGATCTGGGGGGTCACTGATTGTGGGCGCAGGGCAGATTGGGGATGCTATGCACAGCCCTAGTTGGTACCCCACACCCAACAGCTATCGCGGCATGCAACGCCCAGCATCTCTGTAGAAATTCTGCCCGCAAATGTATTTCTCAGGTGATAACTTCATCATGCAAATTGTTTTTTCAGAGTCCAGATCTACTGAGTCTCTAAAGAAGAAAATTCCATAATTATAGGGGAACCAACAAGCAACTTTCTCCATCTGATTCTGTGGTGCAGATGGTACAACAAAGATGACGACCTTGGCAGGTATCACTGCAGAATACAGGTAGGTTGGTTAATGGTCCAAGCTGTTTAGGAAGGAGTGAACAACTGTGCCTCACCAAATGTTGTGCGACTCCCAATTCCCATGAACCCCATCTAATATAGCCAATGGTCAGGGATAATGGGAGTTGTTGCCTGGAGGATCTCAGGTTCCCCATCGCCATGTTAAGACTGGACTGTGAGGAACTCCTAAGGGACTTAGATTCAGGTAGGTAGCCATGTTGGTCTGATGCAGTCAAAATAAAAAATAAAATAAAAAAAAAATGCCCAGTAGCACCTTAGAGACAAACTAAGTTTGTTCTGGGTATAAGCTTTCGTGTGTATCTGAAGAAGTGTGCATGCACATGAAAGCTTATACCCAGAACAAACTTAGTTGGTCTCTAAGGTGCTACTGGGCAATTTTTTATTTTTTTCCCTAAGAGACTTGGTTAGAACTTTGTGCTTCAGCCAAAATTTCTCAGCTTCTCCTGAGCAGGAATCTGCCTCTGAATTTGGCCCATTTGGCGTGGGCCTCAGCCAAATCTGGTACACAGCTTTAGTACCAATTAATCTAAAATAGGGTTGCCATATTTCAAAAAGTGAAAATCAGGACAGAAAAGTTTTGAGCTGCTTTTTTTTTTTTTGCCAAAGTTGTTGAGCTTTTTTAGTTTCAGCCAAAGTTGTTAGCAAAGAAATTGGATATTTTTGAGAGATTTCTGAGGAAAATCGGTAAAAACGACACGGACTGCCACATGTCCAGATTTTCCCAGACATTTAGTCACTTTTTCCATACGAAAAATGCTTAGGTCCCTGTGGAGATGGCAGTACTGAATCAGTGGTTCACGCCCTTCTGGCTTGCACTATTTATAAAGACTTGAGGAATGAGATTATCACCCCTCTTTTATTGTCCATTCTGGGTCACCCAACCACTACCACAGTGTCCTTTCTCTTGGCAGGTCAAGATGAGCAGATGACAGCAAAGGTTGCAAGGTTTTTAGCTGGGGCAATCAGAATAAGGTCCATTATTTGACTGCTGATTCAGGACCCTAAAGCGTGTTTTATATAATCAACTTTTTATTTCTGTTCTTTGTATATCGCATTGTTGTTTTGTTGCTATGGCTGACGCAAATAAAGATTCATTCATTCAATTTCATCACTTTCGGCTCAGACACTGCTTGTGGTTGCAGTATTCTGGATATGTCCAGGAAATTCAGGACGTATGGCAACCCTATCTAAAGAGAGAGAAAAGGAGAGCACCACCAAACATGCTTTGGTGAACTTGAAGTAGATGCCAAGGAAGAACATACTGATATT